GGTTACTCTCTATTATTTTGGAGCACCCAACTTACTAGGTAAAGTTCAAATGGGAGTCTCTATAAATAAAGCTCCAAAAAGTGACGTACATGTACATGCTATCAATATTAGCCACTTGAAAGAAAAATCTCTATGCTAGTTTTCCTCCATATCTATAAATAAAGTTTAGTGAAAATAGAACTCCACTTTGATTGGTGAAGAAGCTTGAGTCCTATGTTCAAGCTTGACAAAGTTCCTATATTTTTATCATCTTCAACCATCACCCTTTATCCCTATATGTTCACAATTTGCAACTATTAATTGCTATAATTATAATTTTAAGTATTTATTGAAATAATATTAATTTTTTGTTTATGAGATATGAAAATATGTTTGAGTTCTTGTCTCTTATCATTCTGAGAGATCACTTAAAAACTTCATAAGAATAGGTGGTCGGACAAAAACTATTGAAAAATAATTTAATTATATGCGTCTTTCATTAAGAAATGTCATAGAATATTGCTTTGGTGTACTAAACTCAATACTTTTAATCTTAAAGTTGATGTCACTATCCAATGCATAAGTAAATATGAATTATATTTGCATGTTATGTGTTCCATAATCATATTCCGAATAACAAGGCATTATAATTTGAGAATTATTCATCCTTGACTAAGAAACATTAGGAGAAAGCAGACAACATAATAAGTATTTTTTTCATAAATATGTTATGTATTATTTGATAACATGTATTGGATTTTTTGGTGTTTAACTATTTATTAGAAAGAATAAATATTCATGGTAAACTAATTGCATGTATTTAAATAATTTCTTGTTATAGCAATACCTAATGTCTGAACATCAAAGATGAATGTGTTAATGTTGATTATTGTCCCTAATGTTTAGAATTATGTGGGGCCTAGATTGATATATTTAAACATTGGAAAAAATATATAGCAATGTAATCAATTTTATTACAAATTTGACATGTGGGTCTATTATTAATGAATCCTTGTATATAACCACCAAAGGTTCGGCTGCATCTAAAGCTTGTAAATCTATAAGAATAAGAGTGTCGTGCTCCTAAACTAGTTTGATCAGAATTAAGATGTTTAGAGTTGTTTGTGTGATGCTATGTATATGGTTATCATACAACAAGAACACCACACCCATCCTTTCTATTGTTGACAACAAAGAAAAATGTATGTTTTTATAATGCATCTTTAGTCAAGGAGAATTCTTCACATATGAACAAATCAAATAATTACTCAAGATTTATTGCATTAATTTATACAAGGTTGACCATAAATTGTAGCAATGAATGGCCGTTATGAAGAAGGAAGTTCATCTAGAATGTAGGTCTAAAGCTCTTCATCGAATACAAATAATTGCAACCGGAAAGTTGGTCATAGATGATGTTAAATTTTTGCAAATATCCAATCATGGGTCAAATCCTTTCTTGAGATGGCAAAGTTGGTGATGAAGTGTGATAACACATATGGGGGATTAACAATACATAGTAATGTTCAAGAATGTCCTATGCTTGTTTGGCTAACTTGATACCAACCATGTAAGGAAGGGAAAAGGTGGATAGAGTAACCAAAATCTAAGACAAAATATTCATACCATAATTCATATTTAAGGATTGCCTTGTCAGGTGTTGCAAAAAATTAGTCGTTGATAAACATGGGTCAGTGGTCTTCAAAGAGTGACCTCCATAAGAGATATTTTGTGATGTCCAGTTTAATGGGAACCAAGTTTCTTATAATGGAAGTAACTACAAATATCGATTATGGTGATGAGGTCTCATCAGAGTTTTGAGAGTTCTAAGATCTGGTTGAAGTCATGGTTATGTCAAGAATAGAAGATTTGAGTGACATAACACTACCACTATGATACCATAAAAATGTTAAGATAATTAAAAGAAAAATCTAGCCTTACTACTTGAGTTGAAGAAATACAAAATGGGATTTGTGCTACGAACATGGCTAATAAATAGGTAAGTGTCTCAGTTGTTATAGCAAAGACATTGGGATGAACCAGCCTTTACCAAGATTCGGGATTATGGGTCTTAGGAGATGGGATACTAAAACAAAAGCATAGGCTCTTTTATTTGTTAAAAAAACTAAGCTTTAATCGGCATCTATGGGGGTGTTTAGAATTGAAAATGGGGTGGGTTCAGGGTGGGGATCATACTCCCCATCTCCGACTCTGACTTTGAAACAAATCTCCGTCCTCGACCCCAATCCCCACTAGGGGATCCTTGATCGATATGGATTCCCCATTGGGAACTTGAATCCATGAAAATTTTAAATTAAAATTATTTTTAGAAAATAGGTTTACTTAAAATAAAGGAAGTTTGTTAAAATATAAAAATATTTTAAATATATTTTGATTTATAATATAATAATATAATAATGTCATATATGTATATATTTATGTTAGACAGTTTTGTATGCCCTTAGCTTCAATCCGTTTTGATGTACTTTTGTTATTTAGTGGAAATAATTAAAGTGCATGTTTGATTCATGTTGTTTGGTATAATTCTGTGTAAGACCCTAAAACTGGACACTTATAGAGACTCGTGTTAGTTTTAAATGTTCACAACCATTGGATAA